ACTTCGAAACATTTTCTAGAATATATTCATAGCTACGTGAATTAGTTCAATAAAGACATGTTATTCATAATATTTAATGTACATGTATATTAAAAGCATTATGCAAAAAAAAGAAAAACAATTTGCATGTCTTTTCATATGTAAATTTTACAACCCAAAATAAAGCTGAAGAATGTTTCAAAGATTTTGTCAATCTATTAAAGATCTTGTTAGAGGCATACTGAATATAAGGAACTTTTAATTTCAAAAATAAGATAATAAAAAATGAATGAGCATGTACAACATTTTTATCACTTCCTTAATAGCAACATTAATTTGTTCGTCATTGCATTACTGAAAATGTCTATGTGAAGATTATTTTGGTAAAATACATAGGGCTCATGATGGCGGGAGTGACCGGTGAGGCATATTATTTTGTCCGCCTCGTTTCAAGGTACGAGGGACCAAATGACGATAACATATAAGATCCGGTCTGCCTCTATAATAAAAAGTCCGCCTTCAGTTTAATATGCCAAATTTTCTCCTTTATTGAATCAAAATTAATTTCTTTAATCAATCTTTTTAAATTATTTAAGGTATCGTCCTTATAATAGTGTCTCTCCCAGCAAAATGTAGTTCCAGGGACGTACATGTATACCAACAGGATAGGTTTCGATATGTCGCTAGTTGCAGGATTTCGTAAGTTAATGTTAATTATATTTCTACTGCTATCAAATATTTCAGAACCAAACTTTGAATTATCCATCAAAAAATTAATTATTAAAAATTTGATGTTAGCACTGGTAATTCTCCTCATCTTAGTATATACGTCCCTGGTAGTACACGAAACAAAAGAAATTAATACGAAAATGAAAGAATGCAAAAGATCTGTTGATCGAGTTACCTTTCGGGAAAATCATGTACGACTTGAGTCTTTTATAGTTTAAGTAATATTAACATTATCATTACAAAATAAAATGTACAATACATATACCTTTACTGGCACATAATAAATGCGTATAAACACAGGTGAGATGGAATTTTATATACAACTTTTTAATTCTAAATAAATTTAAAATCGTCTCGAAATCCCTACACAGGTCAAGTTCGAAGTTCGACTTCTTGGGTATTTTACTGTGTATTAAATCACCTTTTCAAATTTAAGCTTGATACATTGATAATTCGCCAAATTATTATTATAATAAAATTTAAAAAAAAATTTTATGATCAACCGGCGCTGTCGCCGTTTAGTTTCATCACGTAAGAGGACGTCGTTGTTTCTCAATGTCCTCTCCCTTTACCTCATATATTTATCTTGATGAGATTCCCTTGAGTTAAGTATAAGGACTTCATATGACTTTACAATGTCATGAACAGCTGCTTTCAATGAATATAATGTTGTTAATGGATCTATACATATGGAAAGATCCTCACTTGATTATGCCAGCATATTTTGCTTGTCGGAGTTCAATATCTACCACACATGATCAACGTCAATTTACGACGTCATGTCACTGACTTTAGACACCCCAACTGCAAATCCACATCAACTGTGCATCTCTCATCTATTTGAATCTTTTTCGGCATTTAAAAACAAGTACTCTGGATAGATTTTATTTTTCATCCGTTTAAACATTTCCTAGGTCTATACCTGTCTTTCCAGGGACAAAACTTAAAAGAATGATGGAAAAAGAAACCCCTTTCCCCTTTTGACGTCATTTTCAAGCTCTTAATTGTTTGGACACTCCATATGAAATTTACGATAAAATTTCAAAGAACTTACAGAATGAGGTAAACATTGCAAATTTTACGAAACAATTGTGTCATACCACATGCCTGAATTAACGGGATTTTTGGATGACATACATTTATCTCAAAAGAGTTTTTTTCAGTTATGATCACCTTATAAAAAAACCTTATATTCGAGGTTGCACCGCCTGGACATACCATTGCTTACAAAAACATTAACAATTTATCAAAAAATGAATCAGATGATTTATGGTTTATTTTATAGATAGAAAAGATGACACTAACTAAATGTGTTAAAATTCATTGATGTATCTAAAGCGGTTTTAATTTTATGGCACTAGTCCACGAACTTTTTGGTAACCCCCTTGTATGTGTGTGATGTGGGGGGGGGGGAAATTAAAAATAATTTCAAGTCAAGGTGTAAGGGGAAGGGGGAGGGATTATTGACAGGCAAGCAATAAAGGAAAAAAATAATAGGGATTCGATTATACCGTAACACAAAGTAGGAGCTAGGAGAAAATAAACAAATTGCATGAGAATTTGAAAACTTATTTAACACTAAATTGGGGACGCAGATTCCCTTTCCCATTCGAGGACTACAGGCTTGCTGGTTTTCAATGTCATTTTGAACATATAATGGAATAGTAAAGAGCCATAACATTGCAATTTACAGTTCAAGTAAACATATGCATATTTCAATAAACCTCTTGCAGTTAATTACACCAGAACACTCGTTGCTTTACATATAAGGCATGCAAGGCAATCGGTGAAAATGTTTTCTTTGTTAATTGCTTCTCCAAATACTTGATGAATGAATTATAATTATAAACCTAAACCAGGGTTTTGTTTTACAGGGGTATCAGGGTCTGAATGTGCGTATGGGTTTGGGGGGGGGGGGCTATTTCCAATGCTGTAAAAGCAGATTTTTTCCTCATTTTTTTTTCTTTAAACTTCCTAACCGATAAAAAATTCAAAGCAGCATGCTTCTTTTGTTCGTAAATCTTTGTCACCTGTATTTTGTATTTTTTAAGTTATAATTACATATTGTTGCTTTAATTAAAATGTGGCTGTAATATATTTGGTAAAGATTATTTGTACAGTGATTTATGTATAATCATGCTAAATATTTGAATTAAGGAGGCTGGGGGTCAACAAATTAACCATCAGATATAACTTAATTTTTTTAGATATGATATCTTAAGCTGTGAACTATCATTTGGCAAACAAAAATTTCATACATTTTAGCTTTAAAATTTGATCATTTTTGTATATCTTTATATGTAGCTCTTCTTCTAGAGGAGATCAATATAGTCTGAAAATGGCCACAACCACCCAGCCCTCTTAAGGGAGAAAACTGTTACACCTATGGATTGTACATCAGGATAAGTAAAATACATTGTATATATTTGTTTTTTATACCATGTGATTGTTATTATTTTATTTTATAGGGCCGTTTTCTTGGGTACTATATGAACATCAATATTAAATATATTAACACTTAGCCAGGAGTTTGGTTAACTATTCATAATTTGTGATATAAACCACCCCTACAGCATATACATTATATTCCTTAGAATTTAATCAATTTATAGCTTAAATCAGAGCATAAGTGTAAGGGTAAATTTTTAAATAATATACATTTAGAAGTAGTTCCGAATATTTATTTCATAAAGTTGGTTTCCTCAACCAACGCTCCAAGAAAATCAATTTATAGTAACAGGTACTTTCCATTTAAATATGGTAGTAGGCGAGCGCCATACCTCTTCTCGCCTTTTCAAAGACTATGATTTCTATTTTTTTTTTATAGGGGCTTGTGTATTTTCCTTCGATTGTCTATCTTTTATACATGTTCACTCTTGATATAAAAGACACTAAAGAGAAAGCAAATCGCATGATAAATTCCAATGTAACAAAAACACAGTTAAGCAGAACTATATCTCAGTATATCACACTTTATTCGAGAACAATTAAGAATTATTCACTGTGATGGATTTCTACTGTATATACAGTATATTCCTTAGCATTTAATCAATTCAGTGTATTATAGTTGTTTTATTCCGTCTGTACAACTAGTACTTGTCTGGGTTATTGCGCTGGAAAGTATACGTATTGGTTGTATTATCTGAGCCTCATATTCATTTAGAAATACATACTTGTACTGATTCAATGTTCTAAATTCAGATCTCAAGTTTTCAAACAGTAGGACTACATATCAGTATCTGCACTCTCTTGGATTTCATTTATATAATTTGTATACATTAAAGGACTTATCGCATGATCTTTCAAATATCGTAATTTTATGAAAAATATTATCTACAACCTTGTTTATCAAAATACTGAATACAATAAACGTTGTTGAAAGCATATTTTAAGAGATATGGAGAGTTGAAATTCAAATACGGCAATATGCATATTTCAGTCGTATTTCGGCGGAATACAGCCCTGATGTCATAGGCGACAATACAGTGATAGAGAGATGAGAATATGCACACTACTTACGGAGTTATCAACGACAAATACAGCTTAATTACGAAAAATGCTGAAAAAAATAATTCCTAGCGTGCTTTTTAATTACTATAGAAACATTAACTAGTTCTAAGGTATAAGGCTTTTGAGATATTTTCGTTTTTTATTCGAAACACTTAGAATCTGTACATTACAGATTACGGTAATGTTTCGTGAACGGAAAATTATTTTTCAAGACCCCCATCTTTACAAAACATAAGTAAATTAATGTTATGCTTAAAACGAAGAATAACAAAGTTATACAATATTTAAATTTGTGAATCAAATAAGTTAATACATGTGATAAGATGACCGGCAAATCAAATTGTATTGTGATGGCGAGTTTCTTCGTCTTCGCCGCGTCTCCTTCGATATCGTCGCTGCTATTTTTACAATGTTAACCGATTTTTCCTTGCTGACAATTCTATAATATAAGGTTGGATATTCAATTTCATATCGATAAAATCAGTGATTTGGTCGTCCACAACGCAGAATAATTCAGGTTGTATTGCGTATATTTTAGTAAGCTTAATGTGAAGAGCTGATCAGCCATTGTCGCCTTTGACGTCACAGGGTTACGTGATCGCTATCTAATTAACTTAGATTTTTAATTCAGGGGCTTTCATTTGAGTCAATAATTGGTTAATTACAGCGCACAAAATTTATAACCTGTGGTCATAAGGAACGTTTTACGCATTTAATTTCAAATAATTTAGAAACATGCGATAAATCCTTTGATAGCATGTTTTATTATATCCACGGAAATGTGTTATAAAATAAACACACATGAAGAAAAAAATTAAGACTATAACAGGGGTGCATATCAGACATTATCATTATGTACAATGAAAGGTTAAGAAAAATATCAAATAACAACATTTCGAGATAACAAACTCAAAATGCATTGACAATGGCATGCTACATAGTTAATGTCTATGAAAAGGTTCCTCCTATCTCTACATACTGAAATAAAATAATTCATGAGAAACGAAGTAGTACATGTATGTAACCTAAAGTCATTGACCGGAACAGAAATCGACAAGCTTTTTGTAAAGACTAGAACCAACCCCGGTCCTATAGGTCGGCGCCCCATTTATGACGAAGTGTTCCTTCCGAAGTTCTCTATCTATTTTTGGCCCAATTTAATGATATAATAACATCGTTCATCTAATCCAAAACCATATAGCCAAATACTGCGGATGAATCAAATACATGTATCGATATTTAAATCAAAACCATTCTTCATAATACATGTAATTATTGAGCGAAACTGGGACTTTTTAAAAGTTTACGAACATAAATATGATTGTTATTAAAGCAGCTTCACATAAAATAAAAAAGAACAGTCCATTTTTTCACATTCATCTTCATTTAATATCACCACATCTGTACAATCTATCAATACAAGGAGACAATTAAAAGTAAGTCAATACTGAAGTATTAATGAAGAAATTTATTCTTTCTTATTTAAAAACTTCCCAATCCAAGTTCAGAGAGTGTTTGGAATGAATCAATGAATCTTCTGTGAATTATTAAAGGAAGAGCACAACAAAGACAATTTTCGCTGTATTTCAAATCAGAAAACACAGAGACGTCAGTTGGAATGTCAGGGGCGCCGTCTGCCTGGCGCTTTCTCCCAGCACCCCATTTTACTTTTTGGTTAAAAATACAGACACATATTGATAACCTTGATTTGAAGCTGAGATATGCATTACTCAAGCTAAGTTAATGAATTTTTGGAACAATTTAAGCGATGTTAGGTTTAAAGGTGAAATATTCAAGATTTGAAAAAAAAAACAACAAAACATTAAAGCACAAAAATTTCTCATATTACACAATCATGCAATATAACAATAATATTGCACTTCCCGTCTTCCACACTATTGAAAACAGTCATATTTCACAAATAAAACACCGATAATAATGCGCCACTGGTTCGTTCTCTTTGGTTTAATTTGAGGTATCTTTCTCTGCCTCATTTTGCGGAATATTCATAAAAACCGATGACAAAGCAAATGAAGTCCAATCACAATTAATATAAGATGTTTGTAGACACCATTCCTTGTGCAGCGACTGCCGGAGGAATATTTTGATGCTGTAAAAAAAAGCAAAAATATGAGGATAAACAAAATTGCAAGTTCACGAAAGGAGAACTTTACATTCTCCAAATTCACTAAAATTGGCAACATTTAAATAACATATATTATCGATTATCGACTCCGCATCAAAAAAGTGTTTTAAATAACAAAACAAGATGTGTTTGTGAAACACTGATGGCAACTTATAGCGAAGGTTAAACTTTCTCAAATGCAAATCAAATACTAGTATGCTGGTACTCAAAGTAAGGTTTTGTACCGTGGAATATATACCTGTGAAATATGAAAGCCCTAGCAGCAACCATTGAAAAGATATGGAAAAGGTTATAGTTTTTCAAAAGTAAGTCAAACATCAAGGCCAAGGTCAAATGGTCAAAATTAATGGTACCCAAGGAAAGGCCTTCTCAAAAGAAATAGTGAAGTATGAAAGCCCTAGCACCAACCGTTTAAAAGATGTGGCCAAGGTTAAAGTTTTTCAAAAGTAGATCACACGCCAAAGCCACGGTCAAAGGGTCAAAGCTGTTGGTATTCAAAGTAAGGTCTTGTCACAAGGATTGCATATATGAAGTATGAAAGCCCTAGAATCAACTGTTCAAAGAAAATGGCCAAGGTTAAAGTTTTTCAAAATTACGTCAAACTCCAAGGTCAAGGTCAATGGGCTATAATTGTTGGTATCTAAAGGAAGGGTTTGTCACAAGGACTACACATGTGAAGAATAAAGCCCTAGCACCAACCGTTCAAAAGTTATGGCCAAGATTAAAGTTGGGTAAAATTTTGTAAAACTGGGTGCAAGGTCAAGGTCAAAAGGTCAAATATGATGGTACTCAAAGAAAGGTCTTGACACAAGGAATACACGTGTGAAATATGAAAGCCATAGCTCCAACCAATCAAAAGTGAAAGTTTTTGCGGACAAACAGACAGCTAGACAGACGGACGGTCAGGGCAAAAACTATATACCCCCGAAAATCTTCGATACGGGGGCATAAAAATTTGAATTTGTATTTATGCACATAAGCTCATCATTCTCTAATGAAAATTCATACTTCTATTATTTTTCGCTAAGATGTTATTCAATATATGGAATAGAATTCAAGCATTTTTTAAATATAAATTGCATGATAAATTAATGTCGAATATGCATCAAATGATGCAATTTAAAAAACAATACTCT